AGAGAGGCCCAATCCTGCCGGCGCCTCAGGCGTCCGCTCCTGGGTCCCCAAGAAGGAAACAAGGGTGTCTGTCTATGCTTCTAATAGGGTCCACGTCAGTTCTGCTCTTTTTCTCCTGGGGAGCTGGAAGAGCAACCACAAAACTAAATTACTCCCTGCTGTACTTCTGCTGACTGATGGAGCTGATCCCTTGCCAACAGAGTGGGATATTTATTTATCTTTTAAGGCAATAGACCTAATTGCCTGGAATATTTTCCTACTAACCACCTCCTCCTGTCTGCAAAAGATTTTTCCATCCCAAAGAATGCACTAGGGCTCCCTGTCCCCCGTTTTTCTTTTGGAGGAGAAAAATGTATTGATCATGAATGATGTCAATCAAGTGGAAAAAATTCCTCTCTTTAAATTAATTGTTTTACTCCCTGTCCCCCGTTTTTCTTTTGGAGGAGAAAAATGTATTGATCATGAATGATGTCAATCAAATGGAAAAGATTCCAGCAGCTATTCCGGGAGTGTCCTGCAACTTCTTTGGCCAGTTGGACAACCATCTGTCAGATCTCCTTGTGGTTTTGCCAGCAGCAATTCCGGGAGTGTCCCGCAATTTCTTTGGTCAGTTGGACAACCATCTGTCAGATCTCCTTGTGGTTTTGAATTCCTGCATGGAGCAAAGGGTTGGACTCAATGGCCTTATACATTCCTGCATGGAGCAATGGGTTGGACTCAATGGCCTTTTAGTCCCCTTTGAACTTAATTATTAAGTTCTATGATTCTCCTGGATGCCAAGGATCCATTTGACCCGCTCCATGGGTGCTCTCTTTTGTTCTTCTCTCTTTCATACAAATGTCATTTTATGTACAACCTGCATTGGTGCCAATGGCTGTGCAAGACAATAGCATGTAAAGAACTCTGTTGCCTAGGACTGGCTTGGTGCTGAAAAACCAGTCAATACAATGACTGGCTGGTCAGCTTTCCCCAGCAGGACAACAATACATCAGAACAGAGCTTCCAGGATTACTGTATATCCCTATATGTTAAATATGGTGTGTCTTACTTCCATAAGATGGGGCTGAATGGTGTATACTTCCTTCAGCATTCCATTTGTTTTTACAAGGAAGATGGTGCAAAAATCAGAAATACCAAGACCCATCCATGTTAATCCCAAATCTCTGATAATGGTCAAACTTGTTTGCCCTGGTGTTTTATAACAGCATGGGTTTCTAGCAGAACACTCCTTTCTGTCGTCCTGTCACACTTCTAGAAATATTGCATCAGCAATCACTGAAATGTCACAGTCCTATTTGGATCAGATGAACTATTTCTCAAGAAACGCCACTAGACCCAAAGCTTTGGATCCAGTTCTTTAGGAAGAGTGCAACTCCCTCCAAAACCAAGGGAACTTCATGCAGATGTTGGGAACATTGGCCCTTCAGATGTTGGTGGACTGCAACTTGTTATCCTACTTCACTAATGGCTCTGTTGAGCAGGGATGATAGGAATTGCATCCTAGCACCTGGAGGAAGACATATCCCTCACCCATCATTGAAACATCCAGAAGAACAATCAGAGTGAACCCTGCCATTATGAAGGTCCCTGTTGTCTGCGGAGCTGTCATGCTCCATGCAATGTTCTACAGCCAGTTTATGGCAGTAGCATGTGGTGGTGATGGTGGGATCCTGTTCTTCCTAACTGTGATTACCTCCTTGCACAGGCCACCATGACTGCCACTCTTTTCAGCAGCTTTGCATGCATGCATCCAAGCTGCCATCATTGTGTATTTCTTGACAGACAATCAACCACTGGGTTCTTCTGTTACTGGACAGAGAATGGATGCCACTGCTGGAGTGCCATTCTTCCCTGGAGAATGGAAGTCCCTGCTTCTTTCCCTACTGCCTCATTGGCCACCTCCTTTGCAGGGCTGCAAAACATGTTTTTAAAAACACCCATGTGGAGGCTGTGTATTTTGAATCAGTTCTGTTGACTTGTTTTGGCATGTGTGATAGCCTATACTGGAGCAAATTGTTTCTGTGAGGTTAACCACATTTGTGGTGTCACGTTCAACAGGTTTTGGACTGAAGGGTACCCTGCAATCCGAACTCTTCCCTTTCCCCCCATATGTTTCTGTTTTAGCACTGCATCACTTAAGTGCTGGAAACTGGAGGCAGCTGCCTTGCAGGAGGTTTAGCTTCTTGTGCCCTGCCAGACCACTTAGCTTCCAAATTACAATGTGCTTCTCTTTCTGACCAAGTGATGAAAAAAAAAATTGAATGTTGATTATAAGATATATGCGACCATCTGGGCAACTAGATTAAGGAAGGTACTTACTGAAATTATACATAAGGACCAAACAAGCTTCAACCCCAAACAGAAACGTACTGTATTCTTCTGTTTATAAGATGACCCAATATATAAGACGACCTCCCCCTTTTCTAACCCCAAATTAGAAAATTTGATCCCTGCTTTTCCCTTCCTTTTCCTAAGCCGTGGAGCTTAGCAAAAGGAAGGGAAAAGCAGGGATCAAAGGGTTCAATTATACATAAGGACCAAACAAGCTTCATCCCCAAACAGAAACATACTGTATTCTTCTGTTTATAAGATGACCCAATATATAAGACGACCTCCCCCTTTTCTAACCCCAAATTAGAAAATTTGATCCCTGCTTTTCCCTTCCTTTTCCTAAGCCGTGGAGCTTAGCAAAAGGAAGGGAAAAGCAGGGATCAAAGGGTTCCCTTTGACAGCTACTTTTCTCTGCCTTTTGCAAAGCCACAGGGCTTAGCAAAAAGGAAGGGAAGGCTCCCTTCAGCTAAAGCAGCAATGAAAGGGCTGCACAATGGCAGCCCTTTGATCCTGAAGCCCTTTCAAGCCCTTCAGGGCTTAGGAAGTGGGCAAAGCAGCCATGAAAGGGCTTCAGGATTACAGGGCTGCCATCATGCAGCTCTTTCATGGCTGCTTTAGCCGAAGGGAGCCTTCCCCTTTTTGCTAAGCCCCGTGGCTTCGCAAAAGGCAGGGAAAAGTAGCTGCCTTCTGTTATAAAACAACCCTCATTTTTTGTCTAATTATTTAAGGAAAAAGTGTCATTTTATACATGGAAAAATATGGTATGTCAAATATAAGCTCAATAATAGACATTTTGAATATTATGAAAAACATCCAGAAAAACAAATGATGCTGATCTTCCTAGACGCAAAAAGGCCTTTAATAATGTGAACTGGGAGTTTATGTTATTGCAATTAAAGAAGATGGGGGCAGAAGGAAATTTTTTACAAGCAATTAAAGCAATATACACCAAACAGAAGGCTAAGATCAAACTCAATGGTCAAATAACTGAAGATATCCAAATCAAACGAGGCAGGAGGCAGGGCTGCCCTCTATCTCCATTGCTATTTATTCTAACCTTAGAAATTCTGAATAAATAAGAGGAAATAATGGATTTAGAGGCCTTAGAATCAGGGAAGAAGAATATAAGTTGCAAGCATACACTGGTGACTTAACAATGATACTAGAGAATCCCCTGGACAGCATGGAAGAACTATTGGGAACAATAGAAGAGTTTGGAGCTGTTGCAGGATTTAAAATAAACTACCAAAAAATGAAATTTCTGACTGAAAATATGAATCGAGAGGATGTGGAAAAATTGGCAATGAAAACTGGTTTTGGGGAGGTACAAAAGGTTAAATATTTAGGAGTCATTATTACAAAAAAGACAAGTAATTTGATTAAAGAAAATTATCTTTCAATCCAGAAACAAATACAGAGAGATTTGGAAGATTGGAAGAAGCTACAAATTTCAATGATGGGACGAATCTCAATAATAAAGATGAATATTTTACCAAAATTGCTATTTCTATTTCAAAACTTACCAATTTTATTAAATTATAAATACTTTAAGGACCTTGGCAGCCTGATTTCGAAATTTGTCTGGAAGGCCAAATATTAAAAAAAAATCCAGGGACAAATGTATGACAAGAAATTGTCCAGCAAAAACTTAGTTTGAAACCTGAAATGTTGTTATTGAATATAATGCCAGAGATCATTGATAATAAATAAATAAAATATAGTCTATTGAATATATACACAGCAGCCAGGTTACTTTGGGCCCAAAAATGGAAGAATGGAGAAATACCAACAGTGGAGGAGCTACTAAAGAAGCTAGTGGATATTGCAGAACTAGATATGCTTTCAGCTGTAATATGGGATCAACCGAGACACTTTGTAAAGGAAAGCTGGCAGCTGATGTACAATTGGGCCCAGAAAGAGACAGGAACTTAGGAGAAGAAATGATCATGGCGAACCGGTACTTACAAGAACCCGTTGACAGATGACCTAGAGTCGATGGTGAAATCTCTGATCTATATATGTGGTATGGATGTTTTGGTTTTTGTGTCTTTTGTTGTTTTTGTTATGTCTTACCTTGTTTTGTATGTTCTGTATGTATGAATAATAATAAAATAGATTTTAAAAAAGAAAAAGGAAAAAATTGGCAAGACATTATTACTTATTTCATGTTTCTTGTCTCTT